TTTTCCACAGTTCCGGGTGACGTCACGCAGAAATCTGACGCTCCCTTTCTAGTAACGTAGGAAACAGCGGTTCATTCTTAAAGGGCCAGTGCACTCAATTACAAAATACATTAAAAAAACATGTTTTTGTATTTGTTGGGGCGATTAAACAATGCCAAATACATTTTTTTTATTGATCCATATAAATTGCTGTATTTCCTTTTATTATATATAATGTTTTCTCTTTAAAACAGTCTTTTTAAAACTATACATGGTTATCACAGGAAAGTAATCTGACGCTCCCTTTCTAGTAACGTAGGAAACAATGATTAATTCTTAAAGGGCCAGTGCACTCATTAAATATATATATATATCACATATTTTTGTTTTTGATCAAGAATGTAAAACAATGTATCATTATATATTGTTTTAAAACGTATTTTTTCTCTTTAAAAGACATTTTTGAATTACTGTATATAAATTGTATTAAACATATGGGAGCTGCATGTAGTTTAAATATATACAACCTTACAGTATGTCTACTTCTTTGAAAAATATAATATTAAATGATATGATACAGCACTATACTAGTTTAATTAAAATGTGTCCAAGCATGTAACACAACATTAAAATGCTCCTAAATGTATTAATTTGTGATAAATAAAGAATAACAACACATTTTTAATAGGGAGACATAGAGATGGGCAATATATCAATATGATTTAGATATCGTGATAAAAACCTAGACATCGTTTTTATATTTAAATATGGCATAACTATATTTTGGTGGTTTTAAATGCTGCTTAATAGTAAAGTGATAATATGTTTTCTTAATTTACCAGATTTAGTCAGTACATCCACATTACTGATGATTATTTAACAAAAATCCTACTGTGTTAATATTTGGTGAAAGCATCCAGGTCAATATTTACAGTAAATATACAAGAAAACTACGTACAGTATATGACAAAAATATGGAATAAAATATGTGTTTTATTTTCACGAAAAAGTGGTAAACTGTGCAGATATTAAATGAGGTAGCTTTATTTGAATAATGTGCATTAATTAATGTGTAGATTGGATATATAGAGATAGATAGATAGATAGATAGATAGATAGATAGATAGATAGATAGATAGATAGATAGATAGATATATATATAGATAGATAGATAGATATATAGATAGATAGATAGATAGATAGATAGATAGATAGATAGATAGATAGATAGATGGATAGATAGATAGATAGATAGATATATAGATAGATAGATAGATAGATAGATATATAGATAGATAGATAGATAGATAGATAGATAGATAGATAGATAGATAGATAGATAGATAGATAGATAGATAGATAGATAGCTAGATAGATAGATAGATAGATAGAAAGGAACACAAGATGGCAGTAGAGATCCTCATTTGTGAAACTGACATTTCCCACCCTGTCGCTCCGCCCCTGAACGCGTCGTTCTGCTCGTTTGCTCAACACTTTTTGTTGCTACAGGCTCACAGTGTGTGAGTGTGTGTGTGTGTTTGTTCATTTCTCTTTCTACTGCAAACTTTTTTTTTTATCTCATCGGATACATTGTTCCCTCACTTCCTGCTCGAAGTTAAACCTGCCACTTTTTTTCTGGAGTGTATTTTATTCTGAGGGCGCGTGAGAAAGCTCGGAGAGGAGGTGTAAATACAGAAGGACTGAACACAGAAGAAGACAGAAACCTGGAGGAGGAAAAGGGCGTTCATACTTCGAAGTAACCATGGAAGTTCCTGGTATGCAGGTGAGCAGAAAGGTGTATTTTGAAGGGTTGTTACGTGTGTTTTTACATATTTCCCGAGCATTGTCACAAGTAAATGCAGCATTGTGCAACTACAGGCCTCGTAGTGTTTCCACAGTGCTTACCTGATGCTGTTCTGCGTGATATTTAGATTTATAGGCTAACCTGCAGGCCTCTTCATTCAAATACACCGTCTCCATGTTGGGAGGGAAGTCACTTCAATGTTGCTTTTAAAGCTAATTATGGAGCCTTAACCATTAAAGGGGATTATCTGTGGTGCAAAAAACCCTTAAAAAACTCTTGAATGCTCCTAAAGTTACTCCACATGTGTTTTTAGTACTCTAAACTGACTTCAAGCTAACTGTTTGGTGATATTACCTAATGTATATTGACTTATGTGAGATCTTCTAACTCTAAATTAGTCAACAGAATCTAATTGTGTTCAAAGATGCATGAGTGACTTTACAGCTACAATTTAACGTACATTTATGGTGTAAAAAACCCTAAATAACTATTTAAAGCTCCTAAAGTAACGTCACATGTGTTTTTGGTACTGTAAACTGACTTCATGCTAACTGCTTGGTGATATGTATAGTGACTTATGTGAGACTTTTTAACTTTAAATGAGTTAACTTAATCAAATTGTGTTCTAATGTCCATACCATTTACAAAGAGTGACTTTAGAAGCTTGTTGTAAACTTTAAAGTACATTCATGGTGTAAAAAACAACTCTTTAATGCTCCTAAAGTTACCTCACATGTGATTTAGTACTCTAAACTGGCTTTATGCTGTTGGTTATATGATTTTAAGCCTCTATAGTGACTTCTGGTGTGTTATCTCTTTAAATGACCCTTTAGTACTCCTCTAGCTTCTTATAAGGTGACTTTGCTAACCTAAACTGAGTTTATACTAAACTGTTGTTGTTTAAATCTCCTGAAATATCAGTATAGTACTCATATGGGGACTTGTATTGTGTTTTTCAATCTCCAAATTGAGTTAATGGTGTTTATTTGTCTTGAAATACCTGTATTATATTTATGTATTGGCTTACAGTGTGGCTAAACCTTATTGAATAGTGACATCATGATGTTTTTGTACCCCTGAATATCCAATAAGTGACTTTTAATGTGACTTTAGTACTTGTTATAGTGAGTTTTGATACCTTACGTATACGATGTACTTTGTATTGACTCCTTATTGTGACTGTTGATAGTCCAAACTTAGTTTAGTGACATTATGGTGTTAAAGTCTCTTCACATGTCCCTGTAGGATTCGCTGACCTTTTATTATACAGTGTTTGATTTGGTTCATATTGAGTTTCTCTTAATCTTTAGTTCTCCTTCTGTTTCAGTGACATTATAGTGTTTTTATGTCCCTATGATGCTCATAAAGTCACCTATCACCTGACTTTATTACTTTATATTGAGTATAGGTGAGTCAGGGTGTCCGCGGGGTCTTAAAAAGTATTACAAGTTGATAAATCAATTTAGTGAAAATGAAGGCTATTAAAAAGTATTAAACGGCATTTTCCATGGTTACATTTTGTAGCTTGTTTTCAATAAGTATATAAATGGTCCAAAGAGGTTGTATTCTACAGTCTGCCTGAATGTAATCATGGCGTAGGTGTGTAGTGTGATTCTGTGTAGTTTATTGATGGCATCCCGTTGGGTTTGACGTCATCTGAACAGGACATCGCGCGCTCACTGCTTGATAGCACGAAGGTCCGTTTACGCCGGTTGTTAAACAACATCGTTATGGGGAAATGCAAGTCTGCGTCCAAATGGTTGGAAGATAAGGAGGAAGGACAATCAATACTGTATAGTCAATGTGAGGTAAAGTGTGTCGCCAAGGTAACCGGTTAGAACTCAAAGTGGCGATGAGGTCTTAAAATGTATGGAAAGGGTCTTAAAGGGTCTTACATTTGACTTCAGGATTCCTGCATACACCCTGAGAGTTTCAGATGTCCTTTCACTAGTTTTGTAGCGACTTAAAGTGATTTTGGTTCTCAAAACGTCCTTAAATATTCCTATACTGACAATATAGTGAACTTTAGAGTCCTTATTGTGTTTACCAGAAGGACTTTTAAGTGTTGTTACATCACTGCATTATCCCCACGGTGATTCATTGTGTCCACGAGCTTGTTTTAGGGTTATTTATAGCGCAGTATCTTTATCTGCTTTTATACGAGGTAGGTGTGGCCTGCTGTCAGTAGGTGTGGCCTGCTGTCAGTAGGTGTGGCCTGCTGTCAGTAGGTGTGGCCTGCTGTCAGTAGGTGTGACCTGCTGTCAGTAGGTGTGGCTCTGCAGAGGCCCTTTGATGGTCCTTTAATGACCTATATTACGACCTAACAGTGTGTTTCATCTTGATTGTGTTGTGCCATTCACCTGGTTTAACATTGGATTGTTAAAGGGCCGAAAACGTGCATTTGCTCAATCATTCAACCAACCAACGGTAACACAAAGTGCTTCACAATCTCAAAACAGCTTAAAAAATTGAATAAAAACAATCTATAGACGCAGCAACGCATACCTTTTTGATTCAGTAAAACACTTGAAACAACCATATCATTATTTATGTAAACATTAAAGTGAAAACATTTCCACATCTTTTTTTTAAATACATTAGATTAGATTTAAATATGTACAAGTGTGGATAAACACGGGACTAAATAAGCAAATATATATAATATGAACACTCCCTAACAACACATGTAGCTTCTCTCGATGAATCAGTTTCTCTCAAAGGTGTGACGAGAGTTATGAAGTTCTCCTGTTTGTCCGGCTCTCAGGTGTGTCTACCTGTGGGACTGTGTGTGTGTGGGTGGGGCTCACACACACACACACACACACACACACACACACACACACACACACACACACACACACACACACACACACACACACACACACACACACACACACACACACACACACACACACACACACACACCTGGCACCCGGCGGCAGCTGCTGCACACATGAATTATCCGTCGCACCTGCAGAGAGGAGTGATGCATTGTGGGTGTGTGTTGTGTTGGAAATGACGGCTCAGTGCAATGGGGAGTTGACTAATGGTAAGTCAATGGAAAATAATTTAGCAACCATTTGGATTATTGATTGTTTGTTTAAGTAAATAAAATGCAAAAGGCTTTTTTCTGCCTCTTAAAGAGAGATTTGCCTTTTATTTGAATGTTTAAATCTTATTTAGGTGACTATCTTGAGGTTTGAAGTGACAAAATAAG